AGGTCTCTGTCTCTTCTGCAGCAATATAGAGGAGTCACTTCATTCTGAGCTATTACAATTCGTGTCAGTCAAGAGGAGTGTGTGGCTCAGGCAGTATTGAGCCATGTCATCTTTCTGTTAAAAAATGCAATCTAGCATTTGTTAACCAGTGCCTAAATGGCATAGACATATTCCTGCCCCAAGAAATGACTGAAGGTGTGATGGAGATCATCTTTTAGTCACGTGGGTTCCCATCAAATCTGCGTCAAAATTTCAAAGTACTAGGGAGGCTTTAGCCTTCGTTAATCTTACATGCTGAATGATTCCAAACATATGCTTATGCCTTGCTTACAAAGAAGCTTAGAACTGAAAAAAAAAAAAAAAAAAGCTTTACAAAGGTGAATTGAATTGATACCACAAGCATTTGGGAGCCAGGACAGTCATTTCCCCTTGTCTTTGCAGCATAATTTTCTTGTTATTATCTCCAGGCACTGCCATAATAAACACAATTAATAACATGGAGAGAGGCACGCAGAGCTAGAGCACAGGTGCTGCCTTGGGTCAGCACTGAGGGGCAGCAGCAGAGCTAGGAAGAAAAAGCATTCCTTGCTTGAATAACCCTCTGATGTGTGTTTGTTACTTAGCCCTGTAGAGAAATAGTACATTAAATATCATTGATACCACTGGGCCATAGCCGCTATGCTTGAAACTGAATACTAAATGCCAAACATAATCATGTGCCTAGAACCGAAGGTGCTGTATACATGTGTCAAAAGAAGTGACTCTAATGAAATTGTCCCCAAGAGCATAATTCATAATTCAGTATTCATTAACCTCCTTGCTTTTATGATTACACTAGTCCAAAGGAGGAGGCAGGAAAAAGAAGGCTGAAGTAATCTTGGAAGAGACTGCAAGTGGTCCTTAATGAAAAGAATCTTTTATAATTTTGGCCTAAAATGGAACCTAGATATTAAACACAAACAGTCTCAAAGCAGAACTGAAATATAGGCTTTTTAAAATTCGTTTCTTTTTCCCTTTTGAGTCTTAACAGTTCCTCTGATGCTTTCTGTTACAAATGCAGGAGAAAAAGGATTCCAGAAAGAATCTGTTCCAGTTTGATCCCTTGGCACTTCCGGAACAGACAGTTAAGTATAAGGTAATTATGCAGTCCTGTCCAGAGGCAAATGACTAGTTTGCTTTATAGGTATGAAATATGAAAGGTTTTGTGGCCATCAGCTGTTTATGGATGCACAATTTGCATCAATTTCATAACAGCAGGAAGAATTCCTGGGCCTGACAGTTCAGTTCATCCTGGAAAGCTTGTGACATGGCACAAAGGCCCCTCCTGGGATCAGATGGGATTTAGGGAGCTCGACTAGAGGGAGACTTGGAGCCAGAGGAATGATTCTGTGAGTGTGTTGCAGAATTGGGTTTCCTTCATTAAGCTGCTTTTGCTAATCAAGATTTTCACAGAAACATGAGGTGGGCTGCTTGTGTGCAGATGCCACACACCAATGGAGTTTCATTCTTGTTTAAATAGCTCTAGGCTTCTAGTTAGGAGACTATCTGTAAGACTTACAACAGGCAAGAGCAAGTGGCTACGGAAGGTTTACGCAGTGAAAACTTCTTGCAACGTAAGCTCTTAGAGGTAGGCAGGAGATGCAGTGTCTCCAAAGGCATCTATAACATTGCAGGTTTGTGATCTGATCAGTAAAAGGATGCCTTGCCTGTACCCTGGGCAAATAGAAATCTGAACTCTTTGTTTAAAGATATTCCGTAAGTTTGCCCAAAATATGCCTGACTGATGAATGCCTTTGACACGGTAGCATTAGCTGAGCTGTGTACTGGCTCTGCATCTCCATTTCCCCACCTTCATTATGCCTGTGGCTGATTGGTGTCCCGATAGCACTGTGACTACTAATGTTTATGCTACTAATTCTGTAATGGGAATATGATTCATAAACTTCAGAACCTGGCGTTTACTTGTCAGCTATGGTGGGATGGGGATGCAATAATGCAATACCCAGCAGTTTCTTTTACCAGAACCACCAGTGTACTTGTGCACAAGCATGTGGTTAGTCCATGTTTCCACTGTCTCGTGGCCAAAAAGGTCCCATTCCTGGCTGCTCCTACCCAGCCTAGTAGTGTGCTAAGCGACAGATCTTATTTTACCCTCCAGCAGTCTATCTTTTCTAATGTAATTAAAATGATAATTATTCCCGACCAGAACATTTCACCTACTTATGGTGTGTGGAAGTATTAAAGTTGATTAAACACATATGCTGCTGGTAGATAGCTCCTCCAATCACATATGGAGCGATAAAGGGCTAGCTAAGGGAGAACAAAATAAAGCACAACACGGTGCTCATGTGAAAGGCTGACTGAAAAATGCTGAGCCTGGGACAGGGAGAGAGACCTGCGCTCCCCAAGACCAAGTTGTGGAGACCTTTAGTCTTCAAGGCTTTCAAAGACCTTCTTTAACTAGCATGAAGCCTAATACAAAGCGGAGCTATTTCCTCCTCCACAGATCTCCTAGCCAAGGCACAAACTGCTGAAAATGGCCATCTTCACTACAAACAGATGTATCTTTATGTATCTTAATAGCAATAGCTAGGCTGTAGGGTGAAAGGGACAGAAATAGCACTTGCTTTTGCGATGTAATTGCCTATATTCCATCTGGGGAGAAAGTGTGAGTTTTCTAATTTGCAGAAGTCACAGTCTAAAGTGCTTTAAATTGTCCTTTTTTTCCTGTCTTTCTGCCTCCCATGGAAAAAGTGCTGAGGTAAGTTTTTCTACCCCCATAAACAGGATGCGTTTTATCATTGTGGTAGGTACACAGCAAACGATTACAAAGAAAGAAGGGAGTCGGTGAGAGAATGACAAAAGCTTCACAGATTGAATTTTCTCCCCTCTACAGCAAAGGGAAAGAATAGGAGTGTGTTGGTATGGGATGAGGTCTTTGATCATATGGAAAAGTAGAGGAAGCTGCAGAGGCAAGGGCAGACTTTGAATAACCAGCAGCTAATGAAAAACCTGTTTAGTGCACAGTCTTTGCTCGCAGTTTGTTCCCTCCTAATCACCACGTCGGCATACTTGCTTTTTTCCTGCTCCTGTCAGCAGTTTTGCAGAAGGCCCAGGTTACTTCTGCTTCCTCAGAGACAAGGGCACTTTGCTCGGATGGCATATTCTGGAAGATTATGGAGTGCCAAAGGATAGGTTTGTGTTTGTCCACCTTTATCCACATGCTTGCTGTAGGTAAAGCTGTTTTTGATATATTCCTTCCTGATGCCTAGTGTAAGGGTTAGGTTTGGCATCTGTAGCTGGTGCTGTGAATAACAGCAGTACCTGACTCTCACAGACAGTAAACAGCCTGCATGAGGATTCCCTTTTGCAAGGCCCTTTCTCTTTGCAGAAGAGCCATGTAAGATGTTTTCCCAAGGGGAGGCCACGACCATCCATGAGAAGCGAGCAGTCTGGAGTGTAAGGAGCCAGCCTGTAACCTGGTGGGGAATCCAAGCGCTCCACCCCTGAGTGGTTGTTTAGCAGAGAGGGGACCCTGAGGCAGTCCTGCACCCGGCTGCCCTCTTTGAGGCTTTGCCCATCAGCGACTGCAAATTAGTTTTCTCCTCTCAGAGGCAGCCCCTTCCAGGCCGCATGATGCAGCTTTCTGACTCAGCCCTTGGATAAATTGAAGGCTCTTCATGACCATCTATCTTGCTCCAGTGCACGAATGGATGATGAGTAGAGCCTATTGTAGCTCATCCCCCACCCATCCATCATCTGCTCTGCCACCTGCAGTCCTCTTAATGAAGGAAACGGAGACAGATGAGAGAGCTAGACAGACAAATGGACGAGTGACAAAGGCATCAACCCCTGCGTTCCGCAGCGTTCCAGCAGTAAGAGAGATGCAGAACTGTTCCAACCAGCTCCCCTTGAGGTAAGAAGTTCCAAGTCTATATTTTTATATATTTTTTTCCCCTGTCAAATGACTTTGCAGATAGAGTTAACTTGGGAGTGACGTGTACACCAAGTGACATGTTTTGGGGAGGATGCAGATAAAACCGGAATTATTAGCCAAAAGAGAGGCGTGAATGGCTGTTTAGAAGCCCACCATGTTTTTATGTTATTACAGAGTGAGTGGAGGCTCTGAAACGTTTATCCTAACTTGGAAAGTTGCAGTAGGAAACCCAGCTTGTCCCCATCAGGTAGCGTCTGTTCTCTTCTCCTGTGGAGTTATTTCAGGTCAGCTCATGCTGAGAGGTCTCTGCTGAAGACTGCTGCCATCCTCCTCATCGCTAACGCATATTGACACACTGCAGAACCTCCACCCTCATTTAACTTGACACAGAATATTACACTGATGTAAGTGCTGTTCAGGCAAGGAGTTGTATCTATGAGCTCCTCTGTTGCCTTCCAAGGGATGGGAAGGGATCGAGATTTGCAGTCTCTGGAGTCTCGTTGCTCAGTGGATTTCTGAACGAGGCAGAAGACTGATATATTTTGCTTTTGCTCAATCTATTTTTTGATGGAATAAAGTTACATAACAAATTGAATTACAGTACCTGGCAGCAGTTTGAATCAGGGTCAAATAACAGCTTAAGGTCACTTTGTCAGAATCAAGACAGATTATGAGGGAAATATGCATCGAGAGAGAACTGGTCAGCTGTATTTGACACAAAGGTTATGTTCTAAAACTTATTTCTTTGAAAATAATGGTTTCGTGGAAACAGTCTTTAAAATCTGTGGCGGTTTTTTATTTTTTTGGGTTTTTTTTCAATTTTTAAACCAAAGCAGTTTGCATTTGTGTTGTGTCTATTACAGAGAGGCTAGTGGCTCCTGAGGTGGAAGTGAGTGTCAGTTAGCTTTGGCTGGAGTTGTGCAGCTCTTCAGAGCCCTGAAGAACAGGGAAAAAAAGGATCCATAACCAATAATTAATTGCTATCCACAGTGGTTTATTAAGGCCTGATTTCTCTGTTCCAAAACTGCCTTTCTTTTTGTCTGCTTATTGAGCTCTTTCAGGCTTTCTAGCCATCAAGCCCTTTTTCAAGCGAGCGTCTTGGCCATGGCTACGTTTCTGCTCCTGAGTGGCTACCAGTGCTCTAATGAACACAAATACCTTCCAGCCCTCTGATCCCAGCCGGCGCGGGAGCCTCCTGAACACTAATTGTTTCCCAGCGCGCTCCTCCTGGATGCTGAACACAGCCTGCAATGAACTTACCAGCTTGTTTGGCACCATCCACATGAAGCAAGTGCTCTGCCAGTTATACTTGTGTGCCTCCTGTGCCAGCAGGTAATTAGACCTGTGCAGGATGGTTCTGGCACCTCACCTGGTGAAGCAGGAGATGTGGGTCATGTTCTTTGCAAGATCTATGAACTTTTCAGCCTATTCTGATTCCCCACAGGTTTCAGTGAGGGTAACGTCTGAGCATCGGAGCTGCCTTCTGCTTTATTCTGGCTGTGCTGCCACTAGTTGAAGGAGGATTGTTCCCATCTTGTAGGGATAAGAACTGAATCATAGATCAAATAACTTATCACAGAGAATAGGTAGTGGGAGCAGGAAATGAATGTATTCCTTCTGATGCCTGTGGACTATTGTGATTATCTTCTCTGAATCTGGCTGCACTGGTATTTTGGCGACCTTTTAGTGGCTTTGCCTCAAAATCAAGTGAACTTGGCAGTTTTCAGTGTTTCAGTGCAAAATCAGGTACTATCTGTCATTCAGTGCCTTTGTTTTTCACACAATAGGGTTTTATCAGCATTTAAGGATATTAAATTCCTTGTACATAATGTCCCATGAACACAGACGAGGGAAAGAAGCTAATTTCCATTGTCATGAGCTGAATTTCTCTGCCTGCCCATTTTTCAGCACAAGAGTATTTGAAGAGAATTGAAAGCTTGTTTAGAACAAAGGGAAGCAAGTGTAGATAATGATAGGAAAGGCTGCAGTGATTTAATGTCTTCTTACGAAGAAGGAAAGAGAAAGGTCTTTCTGGCTCAGCTGAAGGGAGCCTGGGAGAAGATAGCTCTCCTCTGCCCTAAACGAATCCAGTTGCAACACTTCCAATTTGATTCCAAATAATATTTGAGATTTGGGATTCAGCAGCAAACTAGCTTTGGGTCTCTAATCCCAGCACCTGATGTTTGGGGGTGTTGGGATTTGAAGCTAATTAATTCAGCCACCTGTAATTTTCACTCAGATGTGCTGTCTGCCTCTTCCTTAGATATATCATATGCTTTGGAAGGCTGCACACAATGCTGGCCTGAATCCTAATACCCTCTTCTACTTTGACTCGGTCTTTTTTTTATGCCTGTTCTTTCACCTTTCTCCTGCTGCCATCTTCCTTTTGTAGGTCCTTCTTCAGAAGCAGCGAATGTGGCATGTGGGCAGTGCCACTCAGATGGGAACACAGGTGTGGTCCCTTCAGGGCCACCTGCAGGGCGGTTCCAGTCTCCCTGGCTAGTTCCATCTTGGCACAAAAGGTTCACTGCCAACCATTTCTGCTGGGAAGAAAGCTTCAGGTGATAAATATTGCAAGATCCAGAAAACCCAGGAGCTCTGTCCTGATTTCTTTCCCTTGGCAGCAAAAGGATGGGAGAAGAATAGAAAGATAATTACTTTGGAGTTTTCAGAAATAAAATGGAAAAGGTTAGTTCATTCCCTTCTAGTGCCAAGTGAAAGCCTGGACTTAAATTACCCAGGCTGCAAGGTTCTGCAGCCAGGGAATGTGTTGCCTTGCTTGCTCAGAAAACACCCTGTGCTCTTTTGTTTCTGCAGAAATAATGCCTTGCAATAACTGAAGCTGGAGTCAGTTTTCCCACATCTGTAGAGCCTGGAGCTGTTATTTTTTATGACTGCTTTTCATATTACATTAGTGCCAAGCGAGCCGGGGAACCTGATTCTACTGGGTGCTGCACGGAGGCAGCTGCAGCCCAAGCAGCTAGGAGCCTGAGGCCACCATTCACAAACGAGCCACGTGCCGGGTCCCGGGATCCGTGCGGGGGGTTAATGGCCTCCCTGGGTGCTAAGGAGGAAGGTGTCCCTGAAGATCCTTCAAGGCTGGAGGCTAATGAGGATGTGAAAAGTGGGATGGGAGATGTCAGTGCAACAGGAAAAATGTAGTGTTCATGCACTGGTTAATGCAGTACCTTTACCCTCAGTCTAGAGGTGGTTAATACACACATGCACTGAAAAAATAAAAGCACAAGGGTCATCCCTTCCCCCTGCCCAGACAGTGTCAAGATTTGATAGCTTCTAGAGCTGCATATGCTGGTGCTGGCAGCTGGTCATTAATACTGTCATCCGCACTTGGATCTATCCTGAGGACTCCAGTGAAGCAGTGGGATGCTGGTCTGGGCAGCCTGCTTAATTCCTGGTGCCACACCTCTCTGCAGTCCTTCTCTTGAAGGTACAGAGAGACCTTGCAGGGCATTTCGATTGAATGTCAATGGCCACCTGTGGTGGTGAGAGTAAAGAGGCCAAAATGCCTCTGGAGGGCATGGGCTGTTGCTGTTTGAATGAGATAAAGTTATAACTATTTAACATGCCTGGGAGTGAAATGAGAGTGATCACATAATCTGCTTAGTCTCTGATGACCGGTCTGGCATGGGAATATGAATCTTAATTGGTATTTTCTTATCAATACACTCAAGATGAAGGATTAAGGATAAGACTCTTAATACAACCTGAATTTTAGGAAGATGCTTATGATTTTAGTGTGATCAGGAAGCATCGCTGGTCCAGTGAGAGTCTGGAGAGAGGTTTTAGGAGCAAGGACTTCAATTTTCAACAAACTCTATATGCATGATCACCTGTGCTGCTTTACCTAATGCAGGACTGCAAAATGCTTTGATCACTAAAACAAGCAGGCACAAAAGGCAAATGTGTTGTCACTTCTCTGGGTAGTTTTCTCAAGCTTTCTATTACAGTAGTGCCTTAAAAGTTGTCTTATAAAACAGATACATGGCCATGGGCATATATATCCAAAAGAGTCCTGTTGATTGCTGTATTTTTATTTGCTATTTAAAGTTAAGGGCACGGTTGAAAATTTGACTGAACAGCGCCATTAAGATGAATCCCCTTAATGCCTACCAAAAGTTGCATTGCAGCCACGCATTGCAACTCCTTCATCATCCCCCAGACTCGGCCTCACAAATTACTGTGCTAATACAGAGCTCCTGCCATCCTCTGAATGAAGAATGGCAGATGCAACCCACCAGCTTTGTCAGGGGCACCTGAAGCGACAGCAGGAGCTGTGGATCAGGGTGTTTTTTCACCCATTAAGCACAAGCTCATGGCTCCTTGGAGTACATTAGTGTGCTGGAATGCCCTCCACGCGAGCGTGCCTGCCAGCTTGTATCCCGTGTCCATCTTCATTTGCAGAGGTTTCTACCTTTGCTGGTAGTAAATAGGCAAAGATGACTGTAACAACCAAATCTGCAATTCTCTTCGTTTGGGTGAGCTCTTCCTATTTGTTCCCTCCCTGTCAGCTCCAGGCTGCATTTCTCACTTCGGTGTGTCAGCTGAAACAATACATCTCAAACTTCTTTCCCTGCTAGCCCTTGTTCCCTGGAGCTTTTCCTGTAAAGTTCTTGTATTTTGTTCTTAACTGCGGTTATGTCCTCTGCCTGACTTTCAACCTTGGTTGCTGACTGGTTACAAGGAAATACTGCTGTGTGGGGGGCTGCTTCCCTCCGTGTCTCTGCAGACTCCTCATGTAGTCTGGAGACACATTCCTCTTGTGAGCAGTTCGGAGCCAGGCCTGGCTTAGCAGCGGAGGCAGCTGTGAGCTGCGGAGGAGCAGACGGTATCAGTTTAATCATCATCCCTTGGTGAGTGAGAACTTCTGTGCAGACACGTGAGTACAAAGATGATAAGCCAAACATCTCCACTTGTTTTCATTTTTTGTTGCTGTCAAGCAAGAAGATAGCAAGATTTGGCAATTATATCATACCACACGTGTGCAGCGAGGCCGTGTCTTCTCTTTAAATCACTTACTGTTGAAGGCAGTTGGAGACAGAGCCATAGCCTAGTTGGCCTGACACAGTCTGTGCCGTGGGTCCTGCATTAATGTGTATCAGGCCTGAGTTTCATCTCAGATCACTGTAAAAAAAGTATTTACAACTATGTATTCCAGCCCAGTAAGCAGCCAAAGAGGTATATTTTCTTAGCATCAGTGGCTGAAAGGTTAGGAAGTCAAGAGAAGATTTTTTCCCCTGGAACTTGGAGCTTTTGCCGTTATCGTCATGTTACAGAGCAGGCTGAGATGGAGGAGCAGGATTGCATATATTAAGGATATCATATTAGGTCAGTGGCAAAGTGGGAAATTCTTTCCCAACTCCCAAGACCAAACAGTGTTAGAGAGCAGATGGCTTGCAGCAGTTTCTGTTGAGTTTTATTTATTAAAATAGATACGTAATTGAGCAAGGGGACCTCTTTTACCTGGAGTGGGATCTTTTTCCTGTATTCTTTGGATTGCTCCTTGTTTTTATATAGTTCTAGCTGCTATCTCATTGTCCTGCAGGTTAATTACTCTTTCACAACAAGAATTTTGAGGGGAAAAAAAAAAAAAAACCTTTTCCAGATAGCCTAAACAAAACATACTTTGTTATATTTGCACTAGTATACTGTCAGTATTCTCAAAGTAACTCATCTTCTGTGCTTCCCACCAAAATAAACTCATGTCCAGCTCCTGTCTCGAAGGTCACAGTGAGTTAAAAGCTTATCCAGGAAACTGGGAGTGCATTGGGTTTGCCCACGCTAAGACGCTATCTGGAATAGTTCAGTTCAGGAGGCTGCACTTAATTAAAACTGCAAAATGGAACAATTAGCTGAGGCTGAAAATTTCCTACAACCCCAGCGGAGTGTGACGGGTGGTTTCTAATCTCTCTATTTATCTTATTGTCAATCTGTAGCTATCAATTAAAACAATTCTCAAAACTATTTTGATGGGTCCATTTGGAAGCTATTCAGATAACAATAGAATAATTTAACTTTTCTTTTCTGAAGCTTAATTTGTCTGTACCTTCTTATTACTGTGCCTGCCATGACAAAAAAGGTGCTCTCACCTGGCCTGGGCCATTCCAGAGGATGTGGATTTGTGGCTGCTGAGGCTGCAGCTGCTGAGGGATGCTGCAGTATTTTCCTGTCACACTCCTGGTTTTAGGCAGTTGAGGACAAACATGCAGCAGAGTTTGAGGCCAGGAAAAGGCAGTTGAAGCACAGCCTTTGAAGTCTGAAAATTGGTTTTCTTCAAAAGGGAAAGAAGCTCCATGTCGGAAAGCAGCAGTGGTTTTCTTCTGTAGTCACAGTTCAAATTCAGCCTAAGAGGTAAAGAGTAAGAAGTATGTAATGCGTAGCCAGTCACAAGGCTTTACTTCAGGTCCTTTTTCCCCTGGTCAGGCCAGGGGCGTCTAATTGAATTGGCCCTGGTGAGAAGCTTCTGCCATTGGGGTGTCCCGAGTGCTGCTGCTAACATGCTCCGCTGCCTTGCAGGGAGGCCCTTTAAGGACACGAGATTTCAGTGCCCCTGTTCTGTCTTGGATCCCTCTGCTTGCATTGAACTGAGGCTGGCAGCTCTGGTACATGTGCCTTTTATTTTATTTAATCCAGGCCCTGTTCTTTCAGTCTGTTTCACACAAGTTGCTGGGCAGGCAGAAAAGAGCATGTTTTGTCTGCTGGCCTCAGGCAGCGCTCGGAGCTGTGGTGCAGGGACAGCAGCTCTGCTTCCCTGCCCCTTATCAGCTCAGTCCTCCCATTCTGCTGTACCATTTGATTCAATAATCCTGAATAACCTCTGGGAAAATGTGACCTCTGCAGTGACCTTTCTTGTTTGAGGCCCATGTTCTAGCTGAGAGCTGCATTTCTGTTTTTAGCATGAGTTTTAAGCACTCTAATTAAATCAGGGGCCTGGTTTAATAATCCTGGCTGGCTCGGGCAGCCAAGACAATTCGCTCACAGTTGCTTTATTAATGCAGCAGTAATCTCCAGGTTGGGAGTTCACCTCCTTACTCATTCATCCAATTCTTTGGGAATGGGAAATGAGCTTGAAAGCAGCAGCTTCACTCCTGTTCTGCATGTGCTCTGGCTGCCAGGAACTGCAGCCCAGTGTACAGAATTACAGCTCTTAGCCAGGGAGCACAGGGAAGGATGGAGGCAGAAACGAACCCTGAATTTTCTATCAGGCTTTTCCACTATGTCCCTTCTGTATTTCTGCAGCATCCAACATTTTCTCTTGTGGAGAGAAAAAAAAATAAGGCAAAAAAAGCCCAAAGCACAGAAGTTTGGCAAGTTAGGCTAGTTTGTTGTATGTGTGTGTAGTCAGTCAAGACAACTTCCCGAAACTCAGATAAAGAAAAACATTCAAATGAGGCAAAGATGAGTAATTGACGATCATAACTGTGATTATAAGGTATAATTACAATTAGCTGCACAAGAGTGTTAATCACAAAAATAATTACTTGTCAGCTTTTTCCAAAATAAAAAGGAGTGTAATTAAGTGGCCCAAATGGGTGATGAAACACATGTAATTGGAGCAACAGGAATGGTGTTGGCAGAAAGAGGGATTTGTTAGAGGCGAAGTCTGCTCCATAGTTGCTGTTGCTTCTCCAAAGTAAGAGAAGCAGCAGGTCAAGTTCTTCCCTCTCACAATGGGCTATGTCAGTTGATTGAGCCAGTTTTAAACTATCAGAAAATAGAGAAGAAATCCCAGGGGAATTCCTCGTCTCCTGAGGTCACGACTCTGTTTCTGTTGTAATGAGATTAAAGTCCTAGCAGTGCACAAGCCACTTCTCCTCTATTAGACTCCACTCCTAAATGAACCAGCTTTTGCTTTGCCCCACAGCATAAGGCTGGGGCAGACCCTGTTTTAGAAGGCACATCTGCAGCCAAGTCATCTTTAGTTTTCCTGGAGTTGTTTCCACCAACTGCACTGGAAGCTTTTTGCTTCCTTCCAGTGCTCCTCTGCTTTTCCTTGACCAGCTCTTGTTGCTGCAGCTGGTGGTGGTGTTGCCGCCCCCAGAGTGGGTCAGTGGGCCACAGGATCTGTCAGAAAACCCACCCGCCTGTCGCCTTGCACACACACACCATGAATTATAAAACACTCTCTTCAGGGAGTGAGGGTGGCAGGGTCCTGTAATTTATCTTGCATGAAATGAGCTTGTTTGAATGGACTGGAAAAAAAGCAAGCCATTAATTCAGAATAGCTTCTGGACAGAGCTGCAATTCCATTCTACACATCCACTGCAGTAAAAGTTACAGGGTTTTAAAGCTTTTTTTTTTTTTTTTTTTCTCTCGGTCCTGCTGTAGGTTCAATGCTGGATGCTTCTCTTCACCTCACCAGTGGCGTGTGAACAATTGAGTAAGTTCACTCAGTGTAATTCCTCTTCTTTAAACTTATTAAATTGTGCCTAGCCTCTCCAAGAGCCATTTGACAAATTCCCCTGAGTGGCAAAGTAGTGTTTATTATGATTATTACTACTATTATTATTTTTCTCTCAGCTCCATCTGTAATGTAAACACCATTATGTTTTAATTATCTGTTTGAAAAGGAGATTTAAAATTGAATCCTGCAGGAACCTGGCCAGCATGCACAATAGAAATCCCCTTGAGAATCACTCTGGTAGGTGAACTCTGATGTGGGAAGCATCAAAGATGCCCAAGGAGGAAAGGAGCTTAATGCCACAGTAGTCCCACATCCCCAAAGTCTTTTGGCCCTTTCTGCACACTAATTCTAAATTCCAGCCCCACAGAAGAGGGACTAAAAGCTGATAGATGCCCCGCTCCCAGAGGATCTTTTCCAGGTCCATTCTTTGCTCTACGTTAGAGGAAGGAGACTGCTGGCAAAAGGATGGCTTTTTTTCCTGGCAAAAGACCTTGGCAAAAGGTGCTGCCCGAAGGAAAGGCAAGATGAGGGATTGAAGTCAGTCCAAAGACAAGAGAGAAATGAGCTGCTGCAAAGCCTGTCTCTCTTGCTCGCCTTTGGGAAAAGGTCCTGCAACAGCAGGGCTTCCATGCGACTGTGACACTTCACAAGTGTTCCCAGAGACACAGGAGGGAGGCCCTCCTGTGTCTAGCAAATCCACAAAGCTCCTCTGGGAGGATGACATTGTGAAGATGTGATATGAGAATATTAACACACCTCCAGGGTTACCAAATAAAAAAAAATGATTTTTAATAGCTCTTACAATTTCTTTAGCTTTCATTAGCCTCCTCTTTGGCTTTATAGTCCTGGGCATGAAGAATATGAGGATTTAAAGAATTAACTGAGTTAATGAGGGCTGATTATTAATGTTCAGAGCTCAATAAAAAAAAGAAAGAAATAAAACACTCAAAAAGGAGCTGAAAATAAGGGTAATCTTTCATTGCCCTAAAATGAGATACACTGAATTATTGCTGTACTTATAAGGGAAGGACCAAAGGAATGGAAATAAATACCTCCCATTAGATATCGCAGGACCTGTAAAATTTGCAGCAAGGAAATAATCCAAGTCAGGGAAAGAGGATTAGAGCAGTGAAAACACAGCTGTGACTCTGCGGTGTGAGCTGAGCTTCCCTTTGGGCCTGGCTGTGTAAAGAACTCTGCTTCTGCACTGCAGCCCGATTGCCAGGAACCAGGGCCATTTATGCCCCATGCTGGGGATCTTGAGGGATCCTGGACTCTGGAAAACCTGGTTCTTAATTGGAAGGGGCTAGGGGTTCTGTGCCTCTAAATGTCCTGTAGAAGACCTGTTCTGAGCACCTTGGAATATCCAGCCCCTAATTCCTCACCTCTAATGGGCTGTACAGACAGAACCATAAGTTCTGCCATGTGTTTAGGTTGCAAGGTCTTCAGGCCAGGGATGGTCTGCAGACTTGTGAGCTCAGTCTGTGCCTAGAGTCCTAAGTGTGACACGAACATAATAAACAGCAATCCCTGCCACCTCCCCATCCCAAAGTCCTTACCAGCTTTGCCCTTACCAGAAAAGCAAAGCACTTAATTATCTGCGGAGCAAGAAATACAGAATTGACTGCCATGGTTCCTTCTCCATGGGTGGGATCGGCCAGGATTGTCAGGGCTAATGGTAATTGATGTTTCCTTTCACACCTGCTCTCTTTCCTGCTTTATTAAGCCTCTGCAAACACTGCTGTCTCTGGGGAAACAGTGGGAGTGGAGGAGGAAGCCTGTGGAAGAGAACAATTCCGGTTGTTCAGCACAGCGCTTTGCTAAATTGCATTCAGCCTCTTTTGCAGAGTAATAAACTGTTGTCTGAAAGGCAGCATGGAGTTTTAATTTTCTCATTGTCAATGGATGCTGTAATCACGTAATTAACAAAAGTGCGGGAGACAGTCATTTAAAGCAAGCTGAGAACAGCAGCGCATGAAGCAGATGCTTGGGGGAGTGGAACAACTTCTGTTTGTTCTCTTCTAGATCTGGAGACCTTTTTAGCACTTGAAAGATAGAGGAATCACGTTTGGATAACAGGAGCAGTTACAAGGAGGAGTGTGCTTTGGTCTGCTGCTTTATCCCTATAGTAACTTTCAAATTCAAGAGTTTTCACCTATTTTGCCCCAGCCTGGCAGTGCTGTAGTGGCAGAGCAATCAGGTCCTCACGTGAGCACTAGGCCGAATTGCTGCCTGCTCTGTTAGGCAACGGGGGTGACATCTGGCAGCACAGGTCATTTCTCACGGACTCCAAGGCCCTCCAACTTCCACAGTCTCCTGGCTTCAATTCTCATGATATTTTTCTTCTGCAACTGCAGGCTTTTTTGTACTCTTACATCTGTGTTTTACAACTATGGCACCAAAATTCTCCCACCAGTGTTTATTACAGCCTGGACAGAGCCCCGACTGCTTAAATTGTAATGGTACTAGTGCTTCGTTTTGTCCTGTTTTTGTGCTTTTCTCAGAAACAAAGGGCTTTCTGGACCAAACAGCAGCCGTGCTTCCCTCTCCTGATGGAGCTGAGGGTGCCATGTTGTCACGGCACCCGTGGGGCCACAGCCTATGCATGTCACGTTGGAATGATCAGCAACCTGCCGAGAGGCGCCATGCAGTGAAACAACCAAAACCTTTTCCTCGCAGTGATGGGCAGGAGCAGCTGGTGGCTTTTTCAGAGTAACTCCAGTAACCTGGTGCTTGGACTGTAGGCAGGAACGAGACCACTGCAGCCTCCTGCTCACGAAGAGGAAGGGTTGGCAGGAGCTCCTGTGCGCAGGCCTGCAGCTGGATTTTCCTGGGCTGAAGAGGTGAGTGCTATGGTCTCTCCTGCTCGGCACGAGGATGCTCGGTTGGTCCCCGCTGAGCATCCCCACAGCTAAGCGCTGGAGAGCGGGTGCACTGGAGAAGTCCCAGCCCTTCTCCAGAGCCTGTGGGCTCTGGAGGTGCAAGGACAAGACCAGACTCCTCACATATCTTCTCTGGGGTGCCTCTGCTCAGCCTGGGCTGGAAGCTGTAGGGAGTTGGGCTCCTCCATAAAGGATCCACTTCTTATACACCCTCCTTTTTTCCAGCACAGGGGATGCTGAATCTTCCTCAGTGTTAGGATTTTTCCATATCTTTGCAATTTGTATATATTTTAGGTTGAGATAATAGCTGTCTACAAGGAAAACTCTTCCTCAGCAATTGCTGACCAAGAAAGAGACTCTAGAGGAAGAAGAGAGGTGCTATTTTTTATGCAGGAAATGCCTCCCTTAGTCTGGGAATCCAGTAAACAATTACAGCAACGGAAGGGTCCTGGAGATTTAGAGATGCAAGAGTGCTGACAAAGGCTACGTTTGACCCATTTATCTCTCAGCCCCTCTTGGCATATTTAGCAGCAGCTAAGAAGCACCCTGCAAAATTGAAACCAGTGAATTTAAATGATGGCTTCTTCTGCCTTGGCTTTTTAATTTTACATCCCTTGGATACTCTCCTCCCCCCTCCCCGAATTGTACCATCCTCTTCATGTCCAGTGATGTATTACGCATCTCTGCCCACCTCCACGCTGCTGAACTGGAAATTGTTTACTTAATGGACATTATAGCTCTGTTGACTTTAATTAGGGGGAGACGTCGGTTTACGGGTTGGCGGCAGCCGATGCAGACATTGGGAGGATATGGCCTTAGCAGGGTGCTTTATTGACCAAGGGGAGCTCAAGGAGATGTTCTATATAAAGGTCACAGCATTCTTGCAGGTGTCTCTTGCTGTAAAGCTCTTTGGGCTCTCGGATGCCTTTTAAAGCACTTGTTGGCTTTACACCTCATTAGCTGAGGAAGAAGTCATCTAACAGAGCCCATAATTTTGTGCTCCTGGCCTGTCAATGCACCGTGTTTACATGGCTTTGAGGGAAGCATCAAGATTTGCAGTAGCGTTTATAGAATAACGTATTTTACAGAAAGATGTGTGAGGTGCAAGCTAATGGGTTTAAAAGTTGAGGGGACAGCCTGCAAGACTGCATGGGAGGACAGTGCTGGAGAGTGATTCAGGCCTGACATCCTGCTAACAAGCCCATGCACTAGCAGCTGTTGGCTTCAGAGTAGAACCGAATGCTGCTGTGATGGAGTTCAGTGTGTTATTGAACATTTACTGGTATTTAATGGGGAACAGCCTCTTATATTATATGAAAGCTTTAAGGCAGAGACCGTTAATGGAGCTGCCTGTGTGCCAGATGCACTGGCTTAGTGCAGTGACTCCAGTTTGCACAGGAGTAAGCAAAGGGAATGTCATTTCTCATGCACTGCATTCAGCCAGCCCTCGCTGAGCTTGCTCCGTCTGCACTCACCCTTCCAGATGAGAGAAGAAGAAACCTCCCTGGTAGGGGCACTGCTGGCAGCAGAACCAAGCTCGTCTTGTCTGCAGGTCCCTGCTTGCACAGTCTGCAGCCATCCAAAACAGCAAATTATTCACAGCTCTTTACGTTCTTTCGTACTTCTCTGCTGCCACCTTAAATCACTCCATCAGGCATGACAGTTTATGAGAGCTGATGTGGCTTATTCTCTGGAACAGATAAGATGTGGATAGGAGTGATTATTCCATAAACTTCTTTTTATTTTTCACCTTGCATCTTCCTTAATCTTTGAGCCATTAAATCTCAACTATTTTTTTTTCTTCCCCCAAGCAACTCTTGTCAACAGAGTTGGAGCCCAAGTTATTTTTGCATAACACCCCGGTGTGTTCACAGCTGCACTACTCCCCCACAAATGACAAGCTCTATAGCGTGCCAGGGAAAGGTAAATTGTTAAGTGCATTTACTTTTGTTAACGCAGTAGTCGACACGGAGCTGTCTCCTGTTTGAGCTGCCAGGCATCCATATATGATTTTTAAGCAGCTGTCACTTGGGTACCTTGGAAGGATAAACTGCACTCTGAAAACTCAAAGGTGCAGGGAAAGGTGCTTGCTGATGTAGCTCCTGTGAAATAATGAGCCCTATTAATTAATCACTCCCCTTCCAGGATAGATGTCAGAATCAGACAAAAGCCAATCAATGAACATGGGAGCATGAGTGTCTCAAGCGGGGCTGGCAGCAGCAGGAAGCAGCAGTGCAAGGAGCAGCCCAAGGCAGAGGAGCGCTGGGACTGGTGGCATCACCCCTACAGATGGGCAGAGTTGACCAAGGCCTTACAGGTAAGTGGTAAGCGCTGTCCTTGACGTGTCTAAGGTTTTTTTTTTTCCCTGCTGTCTAGGTCAAGGGAGGGACTCAAAAATCTCTGGGCCATTTTATGATCTAATTTAATTTCTCAAGTGTGTCCGTTTGTGGGTCATATAGTCCCTGACATATGTATTTGGCCAAAATCTGGAAATGAAAGTATGTGGGTAGCTGAATAGCTGTGGATGAGACAGGAATATAGACCCTATCAGCAGAATGAAACCTTTATTGGTTTGAATTGCTTACTGGTATCTTCCTGCAGAGTCAGATCTCAACCTGACATATATCAGCTGAAGGATCTTTCCCACTGCAGCATTATCAAGGGAGCAGTAACTCCTGCCATATGTGTATTAACCATCCAGGAGGAAATGTTTGCAGCTGCATGCACACATGAGTTGTCGCAGCTTGGTCTCCATTTAAAATGGGAGCCTTATCAGCACAGCCGAAGACAGATTCACGGCAGCTCGGTTTGGAATAGCAAACCAGCAAAAACTGAGGTGTCGGTGAGGCCAGGTTCTGCTCTTCTCACATTAATTTACAAAAGCAACCAAGGTGAGTCTGCATTTTGTTTGATGCCATTATTGCTTTTAGATGCATAGAGAGAATTCCAAGCTTTGAGTTAAGGGCTAGAGCCCCCTTCTCGCCCAGACAGCACCTAGTATGAGGCCACCCAAGTTCCTGGGGAGGGAAATTAAGTTGCAAGGTGGCTAGTGAGGTCATGTCATACCATGAAAGCAGTAATTTTGTTGCAATTGATTGCCTGAAGATGACTTGTACTTTGTGTGCAGTGAAAGCTAATTTAAACAAGAAAGATGAGTCTCTCCAACACACCTTGATTGGCAATTGTGATAAATTCCTATAATTACTATTGACTCCACAGAAGGTTTTCATTTGTTAAAAATGTTGCTGAAATGACAGCCCGGAAATGGAATACAGCAGGCAAAGGGGGAAGTTGCACAGGATGCCTGTCATTGCAAGGTTCCCTGAGCAGATCTGTGATAAGCCACCAGACTTCCATCCTTCTCTGAACAGCACCTCGCTTCTCATAGTCAGATAATGCATATTGAGGAAGTTTCCAGTATGTTCTTTTATTATTCACTCCTTGTACTAGGACATGTTGCAGTGTATGCTTAAATCACATGGGCTTTAGTCACAGGAATGAAATATTTACAGATTTGAACCACTTTGCAAGTCTCTATGGCCTCTCCCAAGCATTGAGAAATTATGAATCTCATACAGAAATATCTTGATCTTTTTTTTAAGCCACAGGTTTAACAGTCCTATAATAGATCACGTTTCACTTCTGATTTCTAATTCTTCTAGTCATTTTTATTCTGTCTTTTCAAGCTTTTGTCATTCAGTCTTTTTGTAAAAAAAAAAAAAAAAAAAAAAAAAAAGTTGAAATTATGATGTTCTTGCCATGATTCAGCTACTGAAATTTTAAGAAAAAAGAAAAACATCACAGCTGAGCCCCATGATAAAATAGCAAAACAAGGCAATAGTGCTGCACCACCCCAGATTAATTTAAAAAAGCGCTCATCCCCAAGGAGTCTGGTCGGCTCTGTTTGAAAGTTGTTCTTTCCTCGCTGCTTCCAGGACAAGAAGAACAAGGGAAATTGGAAGCTGCAGATGCATTCTGAGTTAAATCAGCAGTGGCTGCGAGGAGCCCTGGGTTCTGATACAGTGACTTCAGTGGAGTTTGGAGCGAGCCCAGGAGGGAAAGTGCTCCAGAGCTGTTTTGTTCCCATTAAGGAATCAAAGTAAGAGACCAGGTCACTAAAGAGCTCGCATTGGTTCCTGAGCTGCTTTAACAACCAGATCACATGTCCTTTAACTTGATTATTCCCTTCTCTGCTCTTTGAAGACAGCCCTAGAGCCCATGCTGTTCTGTAACTCCTCATGGATTAAGAAACACAGTTCTGTAGTTACAAAGAATGCTAGTCTGCCTGACCAAACCCAAAGGGGTTGGATATTTTTTCCCTCTGAAAAGAAAATTCTATGTTTACATCCGCTATTTGTCTCCAAAAGAAAAATGGCTAACAAATGACAGACAGAGGCCTTGGCTTCCATGTGAAGTGCTCAGAAGCAAGCAGGATCGTACTGGCGACGCATAAAACAGCCTCTCTGCATCTAAATTTCCATGCCCTAAATTTGGCCAGTAGTGTGGGTGTAGAGAACTAAGCCAGAAACACTGTTTCTGTAGTCAAGAAGTGAGTGAACACAAAGCACCAGAAAAGAAAAAGAACAGCAGGTAAAATGAGTGCTTTACAGGAGACCTCCTTTCATTACGGCAATGATGATTTGGCTCGTGTACTTTTGCTTTGGATTTTTTTGTTGTTGTTGTTGTTATTTTTTTCCCTCTCTCCTTGGAGATGGAACACTTAAGAACAAAATACTGCCCTTTTAAAAGTAGAACTAATACTTAACAGCTGCAAAGCAACTGGTTCATGCTGGAGCCAGCTTCTTAAGCATAGAAGGAGGGGGGAAAATGTTAAGGACCCAGCAGGTGCTGCGGTTTCTGGCCCTTACCTGTGCTTAAGGGAAGTTTTATAAATTGTTCATGCCCAGGAACACAGACAAACTGGTATCCAATGCTACATACTTGTAGCTGGCTGTATAGACATGCAAAGCAGGTTGCTGAGCCGTCAGACAGAAGGAAGATTCAAGTACGCGTGAAAATGTGTGACGTGATCCTGGAAGATTTTCAGGCAGAAAAATTACTGCCGCTTTGTGTTCTGTGAGAAGTCAGTTAACAGTGAAGGAGTGATCTGCTGGCACTAATGGGTGTTTCTGAATCAGCTCTTCCCAGGATTGCTGAGACGGATGGAAACCTCAGCATGGGTGTTTTCCCTACTGGGTGTTTGCAGTGGCTTTCTGGTAAACCCATCTCTCAGTACAGGTCTGCATGTCAGCGCTACGGCCTCTTTGCTGGCCCAGAGAAGGAAGCACTTGTTCGCTTGGCTTCTCACTGGTTTCAGTGTGAATCTGGCACACACGAGGGCAAGTGAGCACAGAACCAGGCCCTGGAACCTGCCCACTACCAGTGAAGAGGCAGGCTCCAATTTCTTCCCCCACGTTTCAGAGAGGTACCTTGGCTATATGCTGCCAAATTATCTCATTTTCACCGGGGAAGCTGCTCTGAACTTGCTTCCAGCAGAGTGTTTTAGAAACCAACCCATAAGAAAGCCCAAACAGGCATCTGTGTTACAGTGCGAGAGATGTAGGTGAAAAAAAAATGGGTCCCTCATCTGTGCTGAGGAGAGGCAGATCCCAGCAGATGAGTTTCCTCGCCTGAGTCTGTCGCTGTTCATTTCTGGGCAGCATCGTCAGCTGCTTTCGTGTTCTTCCTTACACCACCTCCACACCAGCGCAGCCCTGCGAGGCCAAACAGTTACTTTGCAGACACACTCCTACAGAACGGCAGAATTTGACCTGCCTCGGTACTGAGGCTAAACCTTCCTTCCATTTCCACCGTTCCTATGCAATTACAACAGCTCGACGCTACTGTAAGACATATATTATTGGCTTAGTTCCCCTCTTTCCTTGGAATTCCTGGAATATAGATGCATTCCAGATATATTCTGAGTTGTAGCCAAAGCTTGGCAAGTGCAATATGTTTATCATGCTGGTTACTGCTCAAGCATGAGTAATTTTTGGGAGGAGGGAGGCGAGGGAATAGAAAAAGAAAAAGCTGCTGCAGATCCTTCAGCTCTTCACTTGGACACTGTGAATGAGGTATTTAAATACGTTGCTGTGGAAACAATCAAAGAGTGGGGCTGTGTGTATATGTGTGTGTGTGTTTTAGTAACCCCAAAGGGGGGATTTAATTGGAATCAACCACAGCTTTTTAACTGTGTTTTAAATGGGAGAGAAAGAAAAAGAAGCTGCTGCCAGAAAGGGAACATTAAATAAAAGGAAAAAGAAAAAAAGAAAAAAAAGAAAAAAAAAAAAAAAAAAAAAAAAAAAAGAAAAAAAAAAGGAACAAGATGGGGGGAGAAAAGGAAATCAAAAGAATAAATTCACTGTAACCAGTGAAGGATTTGGTAGGATTACAACAAAGCTGTGCTCAATTTCCCTCCTGTTGCAATTAACAGGTTTGATGTAGGTCCAGCCTGAAAGGCGGCAGGGACGTCTGCTCTTCCCCTCGCCTCTGCCTAGTGCTGGGGGAGCAGGCAGCCACCTGGGAGCCACTCCGTGCTGGGGAATGAGGTTTCTTTCCTTTCCTGCACGCATTTTGCTTTGTCCAGCCCTGCCCCAGGGACCCCCCTCACCGCCTTGCACTCACTGCTGCATCTCTCTGTCCTGCTGGGTTTCTGCCTGGGCGGTGTTATTGCAGATGAACCCAAAGATGTTGTTTATTACTATTGCCCAGTTTAAAGATTTTGGGCTATTACCAGGGTTATTTTGGATCCCAACAACAGCCCCTCTGAGCTCATAATTAGCTGCTGCTGTTCGTGTTTGCATTGAAGTTGCTATTTAACCTAAAGGACACTTTTAGTACAGGAAAAAATGTGTTTAACCTCACTGTGAATAAACTTAGGCTGGAAATTGAGAGAGCTTTCTAACCATTGAAAAGACTAATCCTGGACTAGTGGCACAGGGAGCGAAAGCCTAATAGAGAACAGAGCCTAAGAGAGAATTTGATAAGAATATGAATTTTTTTTTTTCTCAAAAGAGCTAAAGTGCCTGGTCCAGAAGGCCTCTTCTAGTCGCTTGCTTCCGTTTCACTCTTATTGTATTAAAATGAGATGTCAAAGGGTCTGAATTGCAATACACTGTGTACCCAGTCATGTACACGCCGAGAAGAGCCGGTTTCTGACCCTTGTGTACAAAGACAAGATTTCATTTGTGATTAATTCTGCATGGATGGAGATGCCACTACTCACACATTAAAATAGGGACATTGATCCCACATGCCAAAATCAGGACC